GGGCCCCCCCCCCTCGCTGATCTTCCCCGTCCCGCAGGAGATGTGCCTCGATGCCTGCGCTGCAAAGCTGGTGCACTCCAACCACCGCCTGATGAGCGCCTACGTGGCGCTGATGCCCTCCATCATGCAGCGCCGCGTCTCCGACTATGAGGCCAGCACAGCCCAGGCGTCCCAGAACTTGGCCCAGGCGGGATCGGCAGGGCCAACTGCCCCGCCGGTGGCTGGGGGACCCGGAGCCTCTCCTGACCTGCCGGCAGCTCCAGGCCCTGGTGGAGCCTTGCAGGGCGCTCCAGGCACTGGCATGTAGCGCAGCTGTCATCATGGGTCGCGCCTTCCAACAGCAGCGGTGGGCTGGGTGGCGCAGGATGGATCCAGGCCCTGTGTCACAAGTAATGTTTCAGCGCTGCGGCACGGTCTGAGCCTCCGCATGCTGCCGGTGGTTCTGGTCTGGAAGAGCAGATCCACGCTGCACCCGGCCCCGCGTATCTGCGTCCTCTAGAGTATCGTCATCGAGAGCCTGGTTCAAGGTGGGCCACGGGGGGCACTGAGAGAAATGGCAGTGCCTGCCCGTCCGGCCGGGGGGAATTCACCCAAACTCTGCTGTGACAGCTCCAGCGCTGGGCTTTCCTGCTCCAGACCCGGGGTTCTTGCATTTCTAGGAAGCGGTTTCCTGGCACTAATAAAACATCTCCTCGTTAATGCCTTGCTGCTGCCACGTCGTGAGGGTGAGTAGAACCCCGGCCAACCAGGTTGCCCCAGCATCTATTCTTGCACGGGGCTGTTCCTCCCCAGGTGCAGGGCTTTGCACTTCCCCTTGCTGAATTTTATGAGGCTCCTATCTCCCCAATTCTCCAGCCTGTCGAGGTCCCTCTGGATGGCAGCACGACCCGCTGGCCTATCAGCCACTCCTTCTGTTTTTGTATGGGCAGCAAAAAAATCACAGAGGTTCTGGCCAGGGAGTTTCTCCAGCCTCTGCCGCAATGCCGGCATCCTTCGATCTGCTCCCAAGAACAGGAGACCTGGCCTTTTTGCAGCTCCAGAGAGCTTGAAGCTGGAGCCCCGAAGGCATCGCTGTAGAGGCACACATGTTAGCCTCCGCAGTGTCCCCAGAGCCCCGGGCCCGCGCCAGTGTGCACACACGGGTTTACCCGTGCCTGTGAGCATGCGTGTGCACACCCTCCCTGTCACTGCTGTCAGAGCGATACAGGTAAAGCCATATCTACATCACTGCATTTCCAGGTCTGCCAACAAGCTGGTTTACTCCCCACCATGCGCCCCCCACCCCCTCGTGGCCTGTGCGTGCCCTTCTGCCCACGTTTGGGGTTGGTTTGCTGGTTTACACTGGCCCAGAGCCCTTGAGGCTTTCCCCACCCCACAGGCACTAGGACGACGTTTGTGTAAAGGCTGAGCGGCTTTTTGGGGTGCGCTGGCCTGGACAAGGCAAAACGCTGCTCCCGTCCCTGCCTTTCACTTGCCCACAGGATCAGGGGTTGTTGGCTGGAAGAGGCTAGGCAGGAAGGGGAAACTCTGGCTTTTTAGGGTAGTGCAGAGCGCGTGTGTGAAACCGTCTGAGGGGCGGGTTTTCTGGACGGTAATGCCTTGCATGGAGGTACACGTGACCGCTGCGCAGGTGACCACGGTACAGGTGACTGCTGCAGACACATCGGGAACAGGAGCAGCTCCAGAGCCCTCCAGGCCGGGAGCCCGTGCGTGGCTCGGGCCCTGCCTCACCGCCAGCGTCTGACGCCAGGGGCGCGCCACG